GTGGGGGCCTGTGCTGGGGGCAGGGAGCGGGCTGGGAGAGGTCAATGGGAGAAAGAAGACATATGTAATACTTTCAACAATAAAGAATTAAAAATAACTCTATATAATACCTATTTTTTTTAAAGGAAGAGTTGGTGGCTAACAGTGCTCAATTTTTAAAATCCTCACCTGAGGAGTAAAGATAGTTTTCCATTGAGTTTTAGAGAGTGAAGAGAGAGTCCTCCAAGATGGCTGCGCCCAGGTGAATACCTAGCTGCAGCCTCACACAACAATTTCAATAAAATACAACTAAAATATAAAATGGACATCACCCAGAACTACAGGAAAGTTGACTGACTGGAAATTCTACAACGAGAAGCAAGGAGGAAACCAGAAGGAAGCGCGGAGGAGCTGGAAAAGCCGAAGGTACGGAGACACGCGGCACGAGCGAAGAGGACGGAGCTGGAAAGGAGGGAGGCGGAGTGCCTGGCCGGCGTTCCCAAGCGGGAAGGAGATAAAACTCCGACTGTGCTGGGCCCCCGACTGCTCTGAACCCCAGGCCTAGGCCAGACCCCGGGGACTCAGGCTCAGCCAGAGGGAGCCGGGCTGAAAGGCGGAACCCGGGGAAGCTGCGAAAGGAGGTCCCGGCGGTGGCGCCCAGTGCGCGCAGAGAAGGGACGGCCGGCTGTGCCGCAGGATTGCCTGGCGGGAAGGAGACGGGTTCCAGTCTGCTCTGAACGCCACCTCCAACTCCACTTCCAACTGAACTGAACCCCAATACCGGGCTCATTGGGGGAGAGCATTGACTGTTTGGCAGCAGGCGAAAATCGAGGGCGCCTTTCTCTCAGAGGCGCTTACAACAAGTACTGAAGGACCCTGAGTCTCAGGAGTCGCATAGGGCGGGGCTGACGGAAGCCAAAGCTGTAGGCTCCACCCTGAAACCCCGCCCCATCAGGAAAGCTGCCTGCGAAAATGCCTAAACCAAATAGATCACAAACGAAAGAAATGGAGGACAAAAAGCGACTGGATATAGAGTTCAAATCTACGCTTATAAGGTTTTTCAAGAATTTCCTAGAAAAGATGGATAAGACCTATGAGGACATGAAAAGAAATCAACTAGAATTAATAAGGAGTCAACAAGAAATGATAAGGGAACAACAAGAAATAAAGAATACATTGTCTGAAATAAAAAATATTTTACAGAGTCCTAAAAACAGAAGGGAAGATCGCAAGAATCAAGTCAAAGATTTGGAACATAAAGAGCCAGAAGACACTCCTCCACAGAAGCTAGAAGGCAAGAGAATCCAGAAAATTGAAGATAATGTAAGAAACCTCTGGGACAATTTCAAGCGAACCAACATCAGAATTATGGGGGTCCCAGAAGATGAGAGAGAGCAAGATATCGAAAACATACTGAAAGAAATAGTGACAGAAAACTTCCCCCACCTGGAGAAAGAATTAGACTTACAAGTCCAGGAAGCGCACAGAACTCCAAACAAAAGGAATCCAAAGAGGACCACACCAAGACAAATCATAATTAAAATTCCAAGAGCAAAAGACAAAGAGAGAATATTAAAAGAAGCAAGAGCAAAGAAGGTAGTTACCTATAAAGGATCACCTATACGATTGTCAGCTGACTTCTCAACAGAAACCATGCAGGCCAGACGGGAATGGCAAGAAATATTCAAGGTGATGAAAAGTAAGAACCTACAGCCAAAGATAATCTATCCAGCAAAGCTATCACTCAGAATCGAAGGTCAGATAAAGAGCTTCACTAATAAAAAAAAGCTAAAGGAGTTCATCAACACCAAACCAGACTTATATGAGTTGCTGAAGGGGGTTCTTTCAGAAGAGAAAGTAAACAAAGATAAAAATTATGAACAACAAATATGTAACTATCAACAAGTGAATCTAAAAACCAAGGAAATTAAAAAAAAAATCTGATGAACAATAGTAACTGTTGAATATAATAGAATCAGAGGTATGGAAGGGGAGTGAACTGACGATTCTTGGGGAAAAGGGGAGAAGGGGATGTGGGAAGAGACTGAACATAAACTGTGCACCTATGGATGAGGACAATGGGGAGTGGGGAAAGAGCAGAGGGTGGGGTGGGAACCTGGTGGAGGAGAGCAATGGTGGGGGGGGGGGAAGGAACATTTGTAATAATATGAACAATAAAAACTTATTTAAAAATTAAAAAAAAAAATAAAAAAAAAAAATAGAGAGTGAAGAGAGGGTGAAGGGGGAAGAGAAAGAGGAGAGAGAAACATTGATGTGACAATCGATTAGTTGCCTCCCAGACAGGCCCCAACGGGGGGGGGGGGGGGGAAGGGGAGGGGAAAAACAGGGGTCAGACCCGCAACCCAGGCACATGCCCTTGACTGGGAATCGAACCAAAGACACTTCAGTGCACAGTCAGTGCTCTAACCACTGAGCAATGCTGGCCAGGGTTAACTGCTCAAATTTTAACGCAGAGCCTAGCAGCCATTTCTAAACAGCGTCTCTCTCCCAAAGTGCACTTCATACTGCCTCCCACCGGGAAGTGGCTGCCTACACAGCGTTCCTGCCATCGGAGCCAGCCTTCTAGAGATCCTAGGATCGCATTTCAATCCACGGGACTGAGGCTTACCCCACCCCATTGAAGTTCATCCCCCATCAGCATCTTTACTGACCAATCAGAGTGGCTCTCTTATGACTAATCAGGACAGTGCTTTGGACCAAACTTCTGTTGAGGATTTGGAGCCCTCATTTGCAGAAGGATGAACCAATCAGGGATCAGGGGTGAGGACTTCTCTATGTCAGCTCCTCTGTGGCTCACTTTCTCTCCCCGTTGGGGCTGAAAAAAATCCAGCATCCTGCCAGAGCAGAGTGGAGCAGAGCAGAGCCATCTAGTCAGAGAGTGGCCGCACCCCAGGGCCGCCTTGCTCCAGGGCCGCCTGTGCTGTTTCCACGTTGAGCTGTCACTCTATCGAAGTTCTTACAGCTGTGCGGGATCACAATTGAGCTGTTTGCCCTGGAAAAAAGTTTCCTTTTTCACCACACCCCAAACTGGGCATTCCTGTTGGAGTTGAACTGGCACCAACAATCATTGTTTGAAAAATACTTTCTTTTTATGGCTGATGTTTCGGTCTGAATATACCATGCTTGTTTATTCATCAGTTGAAGGTCATTTGGGTTGTGTTAGTAATTAGTGTTTATGTGCCACGAATTGAAAAAGTTTGAAAATCGCTGCTGTATTTCCTTAACTGTGTGTCAAGTTCCCTACCACTCCAGCTCCAAACAACACATACCAAGGCTGAGGCTGTCCTGGGCAGGGCAGTGGGGCACGTGACATGTGTTCCTTGGGACCCAGCGCTCTTGTCCAGTTCCTGAGGTCAGTGACCTGTGCTTAGTCAGACCAGGTTGTCACGGTCTGGGGTCAGGGAGAACAGAGGCTCCTGCAGAGGTAGCCTGGCCTGGCTTTGCCTGGGCCCCAGAGCCCAGTTCTTTTTATTTTAATTTTTTTTTTTTTATTGATTTCAGAGAGGAAGGGAGAGAGTCAGAGAGGTAGAAATATCCATGATGAGAGAGAAACATTGATTGGCTGCCTCTTGTATGCCCTCTTCTGGGGATTGAGCCCACAACCTGGGCATGTGCCTTGACCAGGAATTGAACTGGTGACCTCTTGGATCATAGGTCGATGTTCAACCATTTAGCACACCGGCCTGGCTCAGTGTTCTAATCACCACTCCCTCTGAGATCTCTTCTTCCTGGTCTGTACTTCTCTTACAATCTGAATTCTTTTCTTAACATATAATTTGCCCCCTAATCTTAAATCTCAACATTACCCTCATATCTCTTTCCCTCGATCTCCCACAGTAAAAAACAAAACAAAACCCAGTATCCACTGAATGTACTAATCATTCATTGGTTTCCCATAAGCATCAGAAGCTTAGAGACAGCACCAGCCAATAGGGAAGGAAATTAAATTCTAGGAGCTGCGTGCCAAGTTCTTTTTCACACACTATCCGACTTTATTCTAAACAGCACTTGGTAGGTTAGGTTATATTAACCTTCACGTTAGAGTTTAGAGAATCCAGGTTCAGAAGAAGTTAAGTCACCTGCTCAGAGATGGTAAGGTCAGCTCAAAGGCACAAGCTACTAGGAGCCCAGGATTGCCTGGCCTTCTGCTCATCCCCTATCCCCTGGTGCCTCGAGCACCCCCCCCCCCCAACCCTCCCAATCTGGCTTCATGGTCTTAATTTTTACAAAACGTTTGCATACATTAATTTGAGTCTCACAACAGTGGCACAGTGACTATAGCATCTGCCTTTTATAAATGATAGTGGGGTTTAGAGATAGTGATTTGCCCAAAGCCATGGGAAGCTTAGCTTCTCTGACTCCTACACAGTACACATTCTGCCACCATGCAGTGTGGCTAGCAGAGAGTGGCAGGCATGTTTGTGGGATGAATGCTGATCCAGATGATAGCAAGTAGTCAATAAATGCCGTTATACTAGTGAAAGTTAACGGGGTCACGCTGCCTGGGGGTCTCCGGTTTCCTTTTTCCTCCTGCCCCCTCCCCTCTGGGCTCCCCTCAGGGACCCTCTTTGCCAGTGAACTCCATCCGTCACCTTCAGTCCAGACTCACAACGAGCAGAATCCACGTCTCCTCGGGCAGGTGCTCACACGAGGGTTTGAGAAGGAAGGGTCCTCTTTTGAGATAAAGCTGGAGACCTAACAGTTTTCGCTCTCCCGCCTCAGGCCTTCCTTGGATCCGGAGTGAGGAGGCTGTACCGCCACTCCTCCCTGCCCCAGGTGGCAGGACTGCACTTGCTCTGGGCACCCGGGAGCCTCTGCTCTCAGGTTCTGAGGGCTTTGGCCCAGGCCAGGCTATCATCACACTGGCACCCTCTCCCCTCTCTCCTCCCTTCGCCCCGCCCCCTGCCCATGGCCCCGCCCCACAGCCCTGGACACAGGGTAAACAGCCTAGATAGAGCCTCTGCTCAAAGGGAACAGAGGCGGCCTGTGTTCCCCTGGCTATGGCCAGCACCTTCCTGCCGTGGCTGAATTCTCAGAATCCTCATTATATCCCCGGGTAAGACTTCCACCCAGAGCACAGCCCCGCGGGCTTCTGGGAATAGGGGTTTAGGGCTACGGGAGTCGTATGTGCACCTGGGCCCCGGGGGCCAAGTGGTCACACCTGGGCAGGAGGCCCGGGCTGGGATGCGATGGTGGATAGGAAAGGAAAAAGCAAGGAACGGGAGCTGGGGCTGCCACAGAGCTCTGTGTTGTCTTTTCCATGGTAACAGGGAGGCAGCAGAGGGAAATGCCTGCTCCAAATATGCAACCGGAAAAGACCAGGGCTTCAGAGCTCTCTGCTTCTGTCTGTGGGGAGGGCGGGCAGGGGAGTCGAGAGACGAGTGGGTGAGTCCTGTGCCGCAGGTACACCGGACACTGCCCACGGCTTCGGTTCGGCATGGGCCAGACCTACGGGCAGATGACGGGTCAGCTACTCCGGGGAGCTCCCGGCATAGCCTGGCCCCCGGCCCATCGCACACTGCTGCCTCCCATTCGGCCTCCGCGGTCTCCCGAGGTTCCCCGTGGGAGCCTGCCTGACAGGTGGGGGCACCAAAGGCTCAGTTCCAGCATGATCCCTGGCTACACAGGTACGTACACAGATACAGACAGCTGCCCCGTCCCTGCCTGTGTGTCCCAAACACTAAAGAGCTCTTCTTTGCCCCCTACCCACCCAGGTTTTATCCCCAAGGCACAGTTCATCTTCGCCAAGAACTGCAACCGGGTCTGGGCGGAGGCCCTGAACGAGCTGACACAGAGGCACGGGGAACGAGGGAGTCCGGAGCTGTCAAAGCAGGCCAGGGGGGAAGATGTGGAGGAAGACCGAGAACCAGAGCCAAAGCCGGAGCCGGAGCTGGGGGCGCAGGGGGCAGAGCTGGGGCAGGAGGCAGGACAGGTGAGGCTGAGGAGGCTGCGGGGGGTGGGGAATAGGTGGGGTGCAGTGTGGTGGGGGTGGGGAGCTGTCCCCCTGTGTAGGCTGGGGACATGGGCCTGCCGGCCGGCTCCACTCCCTGGGAGCCTGTGCCAGAGCACGGGGGCCACGTGTGAGAGCGCCGTTTCTCTCCCGTCCACTTCCCTCCCAGGCTTCCCCCTATTCGATGGACGACGGAGACCCTCAGAAGTTCTTCATGTCAGGTGAGGGGACGTGGCCATGACTGAAGGTGTGGGGCGGCCCCCGGGGGGTCCTGACCCGGCATCCCCGCTCCCCAGGTTTCACGGGCTACGTGCCCCGCGCCCGCTTCCTCTTTGGCTCCGGCTTCCCTGTGCTCAGCAACCAGGCCCTGCAGGAGTTCGGACGGATGTGCTCAGAGGGCAAATCCCAGAAGGGTCTCGAACCTCTCCCCCAACTTTCAAGGATCTACCCTCAGAACCTGGGTCTTTTACCGAACTATGGGGGCTACGTGCCAGGTGAGGGTGTGTGTGTGTATGAGAGAGAGAGAGAGAGAGAGAGAGAGAGAGAGAGAGAGAGAGAGAGAGACTGGTGGAGGTGGTTTCGGTGCTTGGAAAGAATAGATATGGGGGACCTCAGGTCGTGTAGTTCAGCTTTATCATCGGGCAGAAAACAAACTGAGGGAGCTCAGAGTGGGGAATTAGGACCAGATTTTGGAGGGCAGCTTGGAGTGTCCAGGCAACTGGCTGAGACATACATGGCTTCTCCACGCCACTGCCTACATGTGACGGGCTCTCTTGACCGCGCAGGATACAAGTTCCAGTTTGGCCGCACGTATGGGCATCTCACCCACGATGCCCTGGGTCTCAGCACCTTCCAGAAGCAGCTCGTGGCGTAGGCCCCTGGACTTCACGTTCTTTCTCCCTGTCCGTGTGCCCCAGCCACGCTTTTGGAAGAAAGAGAGGTTGGGCTGGAGGCCAAGCACCTTTTTTATTAATAGGCGTAATAAATAAATAAATAAATACATAAACAGAAGCCTGGGCCGCTCCTCCCTCCTCTGCCCACCAGGCTCTGGCCGCTGCCTAATTTACATCCGGGAGCTTCGGGATCTGGCCCCTGCACCGTCTCCCAGCATCCTCACCGCCTGGCCTGTGGGGCCCTGCAGAGGGGCCTCCTGGTCACCCCCACCCACGGGGGCGTGCGTGTCTGTACCCAGGGAAGGGCTGGCCCAGAGGGGCCGGGGAAACCCGGGCAGCCCGGTGCTGCGTCCCTTCCCTCCTTTCCTGGGTGCTCTGGACATGGTCATGGGACACTTGGGGGGTGGGGGTGGGGGGATTAATACTGAGCACAGGAATACGTGGCCCCAGCTCTCCGTCTGCTCTCTGCAGCCAAGCCGGAGGGCCCGGGAGGGACTCTCAGGCTCCGAGTCTGATGGTTAAGAGGGTCCCTGAGGCCACCAGCATGCACAGGACCTCAGTGTTGGCTGTTTCCAGGAGTTGGACTTGGAGTTGGGGTCAAGGTCACGTAGGCCAGAGGCACCAGGCCGGTGTCGGGGCCGCGGCGGCAGCGCAGCCAGTCCCCGCCGGCGGGCCCCAGCACCCGGAGGACGTCGCCCTTGTGGAAGCTCAGCTGTCCGGGGCCGGTGGCCAGGTGGTGGCACAGGGCTTTCACCTCGCTGGAGGAACCACAGACGGAGTCAGAGAAACCCCACCCCGAACGTAACCCCGTCCCCAGTCCCTCAGCCCCACAGGCTCACCACGGAGGCTTGGCGGGCGGGGCCGGAGCGGGCGGCTCCTGCAGGCTCTCCTTGGGCTCTGCTTCCCGGCGGGCACCCACCGTCTGCGCCACGAGTTGGAACACGGACCTGTCCAGACTCAGCCAGTCCGAGGGCAGCCTAGGGGTTAGGGGTCAGGGCTCGGACTGAGCCCCGGCTTAGACCGGGCTCCCCGCTCCCCCTGTGGGCGGCCCCTCACCTGTTCGCGGGCCGGGTCTCTCGCTGGGCCTTTCGGGACCCAAAGAGGTGCCCCCACTTGATGCCCCCGGCCGGCGGGCCGGAGGCTGCCTCCTCGCTGTCTGCTGGGGGCGCTGTGGACCCCTCTCTCTCCCGGCTGTGCCTCAGCTCCGCCAGCACGGAGTCAGGGGGGCTCCCCATCCAGAAGGGCCAGCCCTGGTCCCGGCCCAGGGTCTCCTCGGGGGCAGGGCAGGCCTCGGCTCCCTCCACCACTCCCTCTCGGGGGGGCGGCCCCCCACCTCCTGCCCCTTTCTTTTTCTCGCTGCCGCTGCCGGCGCCGCTGCAGCTATTGCTGCCGCCGCCGCGGGGGAACCGGGAACCTTCCGTGGAGCCGTCGATGTAGACCTGGGAGCTCTGCATGAGCTGGTACCACCAGCCGGCCTGCCCGCTCCGGGCCCTGCCGCGCTCCGAGCCCCCAGCCGCCGCCACCGCCGCCGCCGCCTCTTCCGTCTCCTCCTCCTCCTCCTCCTCCTCCTCTCCCCCTTCTGGGGCGCCCACGCCTTTCACCCGTCTCCCGCGGGCCGCCCCGTCCAGGTCCCCGGGGCCCCCCCGGCTCCGGGCGCGGGCCAGCTGCAGCGTGGAGCGGGCGGACAGCAGCAGGCCCTGCGACTCGCGCAGCAGCTCCTTGTGCCGCCGCTGCCGCTGCCCGCTCTGCAGCAGCCGGTGCTGGAACAGCAGGTCCAGGCTGAAGGGCAGCAGCGCCAGCGGCTGCAGCAGCAGCAGCAGCTCCTCCAGGAGGCCGGGGCACACGGTGTGCGCCGCGCTCAGGAAGCCCCACGGCTGGTAGTGGGTCTGGATGATGTCTACGGGGTGGGGGGAGGACACTGAGCCACACGGAACACAGGGCCTGGCCCGGGGGGGGGGGGGGCTTTGGAAGGCAGCCTGTGCAGAGCCACTGCATCTGGGGGGGGGGGGGGGGGGCTTTGGAAGGCAGCCTGGGCAGAGCCACTGCGGCTGTTTAGAGTAAGGTCACCAGACGTTCCGCAGCATTTAAAAAAAAAAAAAAAAGTCCAAAAGATTTAAAAGATTCTTTCCAAAAATCGGGACTTTTTTAAAACGCCAGGGGACGCGAGACAAATTGTTAAAAATCGGGACTGTCCCGCCAAACATCTGGCCACCTTAGCTTAGAGGCACCACCGTGCAGGCGGTTCCCAAGGCGGCGCGGGGCACTGGCCCCACGGCCGTGAGCGGCAGCCGCGGGTTCAGCCGCCCCGTGTCCGCTGCCCGCCGGGCTCCGGGGAGGGCCTCTGGGAGAAGCCCGGGCTTCGCATGGTCCCCCCCTCCCCACCTCCGGCATCTGCAAAGACAGCCGTGTTCCTCTTGGCCTGGGAGACCTGGCCCGGGGTGAGTTAGCGGGACAGAGCGGGGCTCTGGGCCTTACCTTCGTGGTTATAGAGGTGATTAAACCAGAACTCCAGGGACCGGATGCTGTGGGGAGACAGGCGAAGAGAGGTGAGTCTCACGTGGGCACGGCCGGATCGTAAGGTGCAGAGGAGACAGACACGGGGGCCGGACGCAGGGCAGACTGCAGGCGGATGCCGCCCTCTGGGCGGTTCGTTTTGCGGCAGGTATTATAGCTCTGACAAGCCAGCGGAGGGGTAGGGAGGGGGCGAGCATGCGGTTCCTCCTAGAAGGGAGCCACGCTGCACAAGACCCAGGAAGCCGGGGCAGCTCCCGAGCGAGAGTGCGGAGCCGAAGGGGGTGACCTGGGTGGTGCTGGAGAGAGAAGAACACTGTGACACGGGTCCCCAGGTGGACTGAGGGTCCAGCAGGTTTGGAAGCGCTGCTGGCACTGAGGGGAGCGGGGTTTACGGTATCCAGAGAAACGGAACCAGTTAATTTCCAGAGAAGCCACACCGTGGGAGTGTAAAAGTGGAAGACCATGCCGATGCCAGTTTGGCTCAGTGGACAGAGCATCGGCCTGCAGACTACTGAAAGGTCCCAGGTTCGATTCCGGTCAAGGGCATGTACTTTGGTTGTGGGCACATCCCCAGTAGGGGGTGTGCAAGAGGCAGCTGGTCGATGTCTCTCTCTCATCGATGTTTCTAACCATCTCTCTCTCCTCCTCTCTGTAATAAATCAATAAAATATATTTAAAAAAAAAAAAAAAAAAAAGCAGATGACTATGGTGGTGTCCGTGTGGGAGGACGGTGGGTGTGGCGGGAAAGCACGGATCTACTGCGAGGCTGTAGCCGGGTGGGGAGGAGTGAGCCTGCGCTCCGACAGCAGGACCCACAGAGCCCCCCCCAACCCCCCCACCCCCACCCTCGTCTGCCTCAGGCAGGGAGCTGCCTCCTCTGAGGCGGCCGCGGGGACCCGGGGAGGGCTGGCGGCTGGGGGGGGACGCGGGGAAGGCTGGCGGCTGGGGGGGACCCGGGGGAGGGCTGGCGGCTGTGGGGGACCCGGGGGAGGGCTGGCGGCCGCGGGGACCCGGGGGGGAGGTCTGGCGGCTGGGGGGGGACCCGGGGGGGGGCTGGCGGCTGCGAGGGGGACGGGGGTGGGGCTGGCGGCTGTGGGGAGTCCCGTGGGAGGGCTGGCGGCTGCGGGGGGACCCGGGGGAGGGCTGGCGGCTGGGGGGGGACCCGGGGGAGGGCTGGCGGCTGGGGGGGGGGACCCGGGGGAGAGCTGGTGGCCGTGGGGGGACCCGGGGGGAGGGCTGGCGGCTGTGGGGGACCGGGGGGGGGCCTGGCGGCCGTGGGGGGACCCGGGGGAGGGGCCTGGCGGCCGTGGGGGGACCCGGGGGAGGGCTGGCGGCTGTGGGGGACCCGGTGGGGGGGGGGCCTGGCGGCTGTGGGGGACCCAGGGGAGGGCTGGCGGCCGCGGGTCTCGCTGCGCCCCACACTCACTTGAGCAGGCCGAGGACGAAGGCGTCGAAGCGCATGGTGTGGCTGGTGAGCTCGGGGAACTGGCTGACCTTGTCGTAGAGGCCGTGCAGGACCTTGGTGGAGGGGCCTGGGAGGAGGAAGCCGGAGCGCGGTCACACACGCCCAGTCTCTGGGACCCTAACGCCCCCCGGGTCCCCGTCTCGCGCGCACGCGGCGCTTACCTAGCTGCGTAGAAGCCTCGACCACGCTCCACGGCGTGTTCCTGCGTTGCCCGATGATGACGTCCAGCACGAAGGCCTTGAGCCCGTCCTCCAGCACGGCCCGGACCGCGGGGCACAGGTACTTCAGGACCAGGTGGCCCACGTTGGGGCTGACAGAGCTGTTCCCCAGCTTCGCCTGTGGGGGCAGTGGGGAAGCACAGGGGGTCACTGCACGTCCAGCCCTGGTCCTCTCCGGCCTTCCTAGCCCTGAGGGTGCTCCTTTGCGATCCCCGTCCCTAAGAACCAACTCTGGGTCCTCGGTGCAAGAGAGCAGGAGAAGGCGAGGGTCAGCGGGTACAGCTCAGCTCTCCACGGCTTCTCGCCTACCTTCACCCCAGGATCCCGGCTCGTGCCAAAATGGGCCACGATGAGGTCCACGGCGGTGTTCACGGCCTTCACCAGCCCTGCGAGAGAGAGACTGGTGTAACAGCCCCCGGAAAAGCCCCCGAGCCGCTCAGCTGGGACTGAACCCTCCTCCGTGGGAGCGAGGGAGGGCTTTTGTACACACTCTCTCTCTGCCCCTGCACACGGGTCTCATCAAGGCCTCAGGCCCAGGCCACTTCCTGTTTCCCCCAGTTCTCAAGCTCCTCCTGTGTTCACGCCCCAGCTGGGACCCCGTTCAATTATTACATGATTGAGACCCTCAAAGTCCTAACTTCCTTGCCGTCGTACTCCAATCCTGGTCAATCTGTCTGTCTTCTCCACTCTGAGACGCCAGGCTGCTGGCTGCTGATAAAGTGCAGGGCCACTCACACCGGTGACCGGCAAGGGCCTGCCAACTCTTCACCCCTCTTCTCAGCCCTGGGTTCTACTTCACACCAAGAGCAGAGCAGCGGCCACTGGTCATGAGTTCCTTCAGCTTTCCTCTCCACCCCAAAGACGTAACGTGTTATTTCTCCTCCCCCTGCTGCCCCCTCACTCCCTTCCATGTTTTGGAGGAAGGTGACTGCTCCCCTTCTTGCTGAAGTTCTTCCCTCCCCTGGGCTCTGGATCTCCCTCTCTGTCTCTGAAAGGGACTTCAGCCTCCTCTTCCCCCCCTTTAATGGGCTCCTTCCCCTTCAGCCCCTCATTTTTTTCCCTCTCCATCCTCGCACGAAAAGTGCTCTCTCTTATGGTCTCTTATTTGCTAAATAGCTTGATTCCTCGTTAGTCCATATCGTACTAGATATTACCATCACGTTTACGCTGGCCTCTAGGCCCTGTGATAATGGGATCTCCCCCCATCAGAGCACGTGGACGCTTGTTTATGACACTAAGCTCCCGGAGAGAAGAGACTGGAGCCTGAGTCCAAAGCATCTGATCAGTGACCCTTTCTCACGTGTACACACTCAGGGCACATGGTACACAGACTTCTCGCCCCGAGGCCTGTGCTAATTCCTTCCTGGCCCCTGGAATTCTAAGGGAGGGAGGGCCAGGCAGCAGGGCAACAGGCACACACAGGTAGTGACAACAGCATTCCCGGCCTGAGCTGGGGTGATCTCCACCTTTTTTCTGAAGCAGGTCAATGGAGATGGCTTCTGAGTTGCCATCTGGGGACAGACAGAACTCAGCCGGAGGCTTTTCCGTCAAGGAAAAGGGATCCTGGAAGTCAGGGCAGGTCAGTGGTAATGGCTTCCCCATTTGACCTGGAAAAAAAAAAAAAAAAAAAAAAAGGAGAAAAATCAGTCCCAAGAACTCTCTTTCCCAGAGCTGCAGCTCAGCTCTGTGCCGTATACCCTCCAAGACTGACCCCTTCTCCAGCCCCTCCCAGCTGCGGGAGGGCCTGCCCCGGCATCCGGGGACCTGCCCACACACCGTGCAGCCGGCAGTTCAGGTGGCCAGCGGCACTGAGGGAGCCGGGGAATTCAAAGATGGGGTTCCTTCGGGCTAGCCGCGCTTCCTGTGGCCTTCGGTCTAGGCTCCCTGACAAACCGGGTGGCCCTAGCGGGTTCTTCCGCCTGTATTCCCGCCACTTGAGCGCTTGAGGGGACAGGTGGTTGGCTGAAAGCAGAACGGAGTAGCAGAAGAGACAGGAAAGGATTAGCAGGAGACAGCATTTCATACCCACCCAGTGGGCCCCTGTATAACATGAGGGTTAGGAGTGAGTGAGTACATGCTATCCACAGATGTTGGGGAAGGAGAATATATATATATATTTACAGAGAGGAAGGGAGAGGGATTGAGTCGGAAATATCCAGGAGAGAGAAACATCAATCAGCTGCCTCCTGCTCAACCCCTACTGGGGATGGAGCCACAACCAAGGTACATGCCCTGGACCGGAATGGAACCTGGGACCCTTGGGTCCGCAGGCAGGCGAACGCTCTATCCACTGAGCCAAACACGTCAGGGCGTGTTTAACCTCAGTGTCTTAACCTCAGATCCCAGCCCTGGGGTATAAGAGGCTATTCGGAGAGGGCGGCGGTGCAGGGTGTGTGGGGGCGGGCCGTGACGCTCGTACCGTTATTGGGCCTGGCGGCCATGCAGCCTTCACCGCCGCCCCGGGCCAGGCTCTCCGCCCGGCCGAGGCCGGATCTCCAGGAGCCCAGGGGAGGCAAGCTGCCTGTCCCATGGAGCCGGTACTCAGCCAAGCTCGCCGGTATCTTCTGATCCTCCTTCTGGGGCTGCTGGGCGGCGGGGCGGGAGAGGCTCCATGGGGGCGAGCCCTCGGAGGCCGCGGCCTGCGCTGGGGGCGGGGAGCACGACGCGGAGGCGGACGAGTCGGTGCTGAGCCCCAAGGGGCCGGCGGCGCTGGGGATCGGGGAGTAACTGCCCAGGGGTGACGGGCGTGAGGCTTCCGGCGCAGGCCCGGCTCTCCTGGCCCCTCTGTCGGCGCAGGCCCGCGGCTCCCCTGGAGGCTCGGCGGCAGGGGCCTGAGCCGCGGGCGCGGCCAGGGGGGCGGGCTGCTGGGCACGGCTGCAGCCCGACAGGCTGTAGAGCTGGGAAAGGCTGTGGAGGGCCCGGGCCTTGGCCAGCTGCTTGGGGAAGTGGTGCTGGAACACGAAGGGCTGGATGGGCAGCGTAGTCGGCCTCTGCTCCTTGCTGTAGCGGAGGACGGGTCGGCTCTCGGCACCACCCCCTGTGGCGACACGGACGGACGGAGAGGGAGTCAGAGGGACAGACACGGAAACCGTGGGAGAGGAGGCCCGGAAGCAGGCAGGCGATGCCGCTCCCTGGGGAAGGGGGAAGGGGGAAGGGGTGGGGGGTAAGATCGGGTTGTAGGCACTGAGTGGGGTCGGGGTAATCTAAGGTTGTGGACACAGCTCCCCACTTCTTTTGTCAAGTTTTTCCTATTGGATATGAAATGGGACTGTCTGGAATTCTTGCCAGTTCATTCGCTCTTCATTTTCTTGACTTCAAAGATGGGTATACCTGGAGGCTCAATTCTGATATCTCACTTCACACATTCTCCCCTGTATTATTCAAGTTCGGACACTCATACTCCCGAACCCACCTTCCTGTGATCCCTCCACCCCACTCGGCTTTAGGGTTTTGCTTTCATTTAAAATTGGCTATTTTAGAGCACGTCATCCATCACCGTTCTCCCGGTGACTTCCACCTCTGTCAGAACTACTGTTTCCTTCGTTTCTAAGGCCCAGAGACTTGGAGCCAGAGCCACAGATTTCCAGGGTCAAGATGTTATTTACCTCAGACTTTCACTCAGCACCCCCTATCTCCGTCCGAGTAGGCACATCTCATTCTTGGGCACATCTGGCCATGATAAAATATTTCTTTACTCCCAGCCAGAATCAGCCTCTCCTCACCTCGCTCCTACATGATCCAGGCACTGGAGCCTCAGAGTCCATCTCTGCTCCCTCATATGTTCCCAGAGTGGTCCTCTCCTGCCCTTCCAGCCAGCCTTCAGGTCCATGTCCCTCAGAACACGGGGCTCAGAACCAAACCCCAAACTCCCGTCACTCTGTCTCTGTGCATGGGTGGGTGCCTCTGATGAAACACTGCGCGCTGCAAACATCTGAACGAACACAAGGTGGCGCTACAGGCAGCTACACGGCCTAACCCCCTGGGTGTGGCTCACTAGCACAGCTCCGTGGCTCAACAACTCCGTGAGGCAGAGATTACATCCGGACTTGACAGATCAGGGTACTGGAAACTCAGCGATGAAGTCATTTGCCCAAGTTCACACAACTGGGAGGTGGCGGAGCTAGAATCCTGTCTAGGCCAGAGTCTCTTTACCACATGGCACTGCCCATGGGATGGTAAAGGGCCGGGCTTTCCTGCCCCTCCTCTTTCCCCATCAGTTTACTTCGGGAGTCTTCAGGGGGTGGTGACCACAAGCCCAATAGGGAGGTGTTCCAGAGTCACTCCCAGGGACACTTTCTAATGATGCTCTCCTGTCACCCCCGGCCAGTTAGAGAGCAGCCACTGTCCTTCTGCCCTGCTCACTGTGCTCAGCCACACTGCCTCTCGGTCCTGAACGTGCCAAGTTGATGAACATCTCCAGGCCATCTGCACCTGCTCTTCTTTCTGCCTGAGATTTTCTCATCCTTCACGCATCAGCTCACACAGCACCTCCTCAGTGAGGCCTTCCCCACTGCAGCCCCTCTGGACAGTCCCTCTCATTACCCTGGTGCCATTTTCTTTCCAGCATTTTTTTTTTTTTCACCACCAGAAAGGATCTTATTTGTTTATTGTCTTTTACTTCTAGTAAGGGCCCCAGCAAAGCAGGTTTTAAAAAGCTGTTCACTGCTGTCCCCCCAGTGCCTAGAACACAGCCTGGTACACGGTAGGTAATGAATAAAGATACGTTAAATGAGGGAATCCCCGCTGAACCTTCGGTGAAGGCTAGCCTCACTGCATCCAAAATCTTCTTATCAGCTTGCTTCCTAGAGCACCAAATTTCATCTCACCCCCCCGTGGCCACAACTGCCCACAGAATAAAGTGGAACCTCCTCAGTCAGGTAGGTGCCCACACTGGCCACAGATTAGGCTTCTTCCGCTCAGATTCCCACACCTGCCACCCTCACCCACACACTCCTCCCACCGCGGGCCCGTCTTTAAGCAGCTGCCTTTCCTGCCGGGAACGTCTCCTTCCTTTCCACTTATTTCATATCAAATTCCAAGGCTGAGCTGACCCTGCCTATCAGATTGGGTCCTCTCAACCCCACCTATATTACACACCTCCTATGTAAAGAATGTTTTAATTAGACCATCTAATCCTACTCTTTAAGCATCCTCCCTGCCAAGTTCCCAGGATGGAGTTTGAGGCAGAGGAACACGATGAGGGAAGTGGGGGGCAGCGGGGGGGGGGGGGAGAATTATTGTGAGGAGTGGGTCTCAGTTCTGCCCTCGGGGAATAAGTTTTCTCACTTTGCTACGTGACCACCCTTAAGAAAATTGGAGACAGAGACAGACCACACCCACCCAAGTCTGCTCTTCTAGGGGACACAGCCCACAGTCTCGATCGCTCCTTAAATGGAGGGAGGGCCCGGAACTCCCAGGGGAGCACTCACTGGATCAGGGGGGCTAGCAGCTTCCCTCTGCAGTCTATGGATACACCCAGTCGTCCTAACTTCTGAAAATCCTCCAAAACTGCCGATTCATTCTGAGTTAGCAACCAATGAAATACCCCAGATAACTCAGGTACAGCTCACTCATCAAACTTCCCGCGGGTCCCTGCCTTACCAGTTCTTTCCAGGTTGGGTAAGATCCTTCTGAATCTCGATTTTGCTGCTCAGGATCTCAAAGAGATCTCGGCTTCTTTAGTCACTTATGAATTCATTGAATTGTCACTCATTTTATTATCATTATATTATTATTATTATTATTATTATTTTTTTTTTACAGAATCAAGAGAAGAGCCCTGTGGTAGGTCACTGGAGACTCACGGAACAGCACACCATCTTGATACAAAAAGTCACCTGATGGAAAACACTTCCGATGCCTCTCCTCCCGTCTCTGACCAGGATCACCAGGATTCCCGCCCTCGGAATGCCAGCCACAGAGTCCCCTGGGCCTGCATACGCCCGCCAGACACTGCAGTCTAAGAAGGGAATGGCTAATCCCTCTATTTCTGACCTGCCTCTTCCCTCCCCTTCGGCCCCCTCTCCCAAGGGCAGTCCTTTGTGTATGTTTACGTGTGAAATCTTTGCTGGACGGTGTCTCCAAATGGGCCTCAATAATACTATTTATGGCTTTTTAACCCCTTTCCTTTGAAAAGCCAAGACACCCAAGCTAAGGCTGCAGCACAGAAAATCCCCCTTTACCCGCTGAGATTGGCTTCCGTCCTCTGGCTTGCTCCTGGAATATTGCTTTTAGGATTACCAGCCTTACTCTTAGTGATTTCTCTTCAGAACTCATTTGGTTGAACCTAACTCTTTTTGAAACTTTCTCCTCCTCTGGTTCTGTGACTTTGCTCTCTCCTGGTTTTCCTTCCTAATTCTTTTATATATATATATATATATATATATATATATATATATATATATATATATATATATATATATATATTATTGATTTTACACAGAGAGGAAGGGAGAGGGATAGAGAGCTAGAAACATCGATGAGAAACATCGACCAGCTGCCTCCTGCACCTCCCCCTCCCCCCCACTGGGGATGTGCCTGCAGCCAATGTACATGCCCTTGACTGGAATCGAACCTGGGACCTTTCAGTCCACAGATCGACGCTCTATCCACTGAGCCAAACCGGTTTCGGCTCCTGCCTAATTCTTTTCTGTTTCCTTTGAGGGCTGCTCTGCTCACCCTTCAATCATGGTATCCCCAGATTTAAGCTATCCTTGTTCCCTTTAAAGCTTCACACATTCTTCCTGGATGCTCTCATCCACTCACAGCTTCAACTACCTCTTTTATTCCAACAACTCTCCCATCATGGTGATCTCCTGACCTCCAGGGCTCCTTTCCAATCTACCTTTACCCAATCAACCAGTGAACTTCTAAGAGGCAAATCAAAACAGGCTAAGCTGTTACAAACAAACAAACAAACAAACAAACAAACAAACAAAGCCACTTTGCTGGTTGAAATCCTTCAGTGGTTCCATCACATTCCACTAGGGCTATCCTCAATTATTTGTAGTTTCTAGAAAGCAGCAAGTTATTCTGTGCCTCTGTGGTTTTGTACGGACTATTCTATGACCTAAGACAGTGGTCGGCATACTCATTAGTCAACAGAGCCAAATATCAACAGTACGACGATTGAAATTTCTTTTGAGAGCCACATTTTTTCAACTTAAACTTCTCTTAACACCACTTCTTCAAAATAGACTCGCCCAGGCCGTGGTATTTTGTCCGAGAGCCACACTCAAGGGGCCAAAGAGCCGCATGTGGCTCTCGAGCTGCAGTTTGCCAACCACGGACCTAGGATATGCTTACAGATCTGCACAAAGCTAATTCCTACTTGTCTTTCCAGACTGTGCTTGAATGTAAACTGTGTTAGCAGTCCTTCTCTAGCATTTCATTCTGATTGGGATGTTCTGTAAACTGCCATCTCTGCATTTTACTTTCCTGTTTCCATCCTTGGCTGGAATTCCTTGAGGACAGAAATTGTCTCTCTCGTCTCTATCACCAGCACCCACTTAACAAAGAGTCTTTATAAAATCACTACTTAAATATTACAAGATAAACAGGAAGTAGCCGGACTAGGAGACCTACAGGCCAAGGGTCAGCCTCAGGCTCTTTGAAGAGCGGCTACAGTGACCGATCAGAGCATGAGCTTCCCGGGCCCCCAGTGTGGTTTGCCTGTCGGACACATCCTCGGCTTTTAGACATCACCCTTAAGCACTGCAAAGTCCTCTATGTCCCAGACTGAACTCTGGCCTCATCCCTTTCCCAATAAATCTAAGTCTGTTGGCAGCCCCTAATCACATTATCATCTTTCCAGTTATCCAGGCTTAGAATCACAATCTTCTGAGTGCTTCCTTTCCCAATCACCCTCCGAGTTCTGTCGATTTTATCTCTTCAGTGCATTTTTTTATCCTCTGACCTCCTTCTCCCCTGGACTGGAGAGATGCTTGGTCCAGGCTGAGGAGTCGCTAGTGATATGGATGGGGTGGGTGATGGGGCCCTATCGCTGAGGCGGCCGCCATGCACTTATCCGGGTAATCTCCAGCCTTTCGTTTCCTTACCGTCAGCTCTAGCTCTGGCATCCCTCTGGGCATGGCTGTTGGCTGGGCTCCCTGGGAGGGCAGAGCCTGGATCCATCAGCTGCATCATGGAGCCTTGCCCAGAAGCTCTGAGGGCGGCAGGTGGCATCTCACTGGCCTGGGGGCCCTGGTAGACCTGGGCGGACCAGGGCTCTGAGCCAACCGAGTCCGTGCCCGGCCCCGTGGGCATGGGCGGCAGACTGTGGCTACAGTGAGTCCCCTCGTCCAGCGAGCCCGCCCGGTCTTGCTGGGCTTCCAGAATGGGCGAGAAGTCCTGGGAGGAGTCCCCGACGCTCGCCCGGAGGGGGGGGGACCCGGAGCCTGCGGCTTTCTTCCGGCCCCTGGCGAGCTCCGCGAAGGAGGTGACCCGCTTCGGAGGGGAGCTGGGCCCGGCCAGAGCCGCGGGGCCCTCGCTCAGGCGCACCGGGCAGCTCAACATGCGCTCCAGCGAGCCCAGCCGGGCGGCGGGGCTGCGCTCCAGGCTGCGGTCGTAGCTCCGAGAGCGCTGGCGCCCGGGGCCCAGGTTGGGGGGGGAAGTGTTGGTGTACACCTGCCCCTCCATCACCGAGGGGCCCGCGGGGCCCTCCGCTTCCATGGGCCTCGCTGGCTCCTCTGGCTGGGCGTCTGGCCTCTGGAACAGATAATACTCGGAGGGCTGGCTGGGGCCAGGGTCCGGGGCAGAGCTGGGCACGGGGCTTATCTTGGTGTGTTCCTCCGAGCAGCTGGTGATGGAAGAGCCGGCGGGGCTCGGGGACGACTGGGAGGACAGGTCGCAGGTGACGAGTTTGTAGTAATTCTGCGTGGCCACCACCAGGCGGGCCTGGCTCTGGAAGCAGGCTGTGAGGTCGGCCGCGGCGGGGCAGGGCTCAGAGTGTGGGCGGTAGGAGTTGCAGTTGGCGTCGAGCTCGGGGGAGGAGGCGTGAGGACAGCCGCAGCTCCCCTCCCTGCCCCCGCTGTCAGGGCGGTGGGACTCGCAGGACATCTTAGACTCGGCCGGGGAGGGCTGCAGGTCCAGGTAGAAGGCGCCGGGGTCCGAGTGGCTGCAGAAGGAGGAGTCGCTGCAGGACTGCGGGGCGGAGTTGAGGCTGGCGTGGGGGTGGCCGTGCGCCTTGCTGTAGAGGGCGCTGAAGGTGACCAGCGCGCCGTCCGAGCTGCTGCAGGAGGAGTCGCTCACGTAGCCCATGGACTGGTCGGCCGCCTCGGACTGGCTGGACGTGCTGCTGCAGCGGCAGTGCCGGGGCCCGGAGCCCGGGCACCCCGGGTTCCTCGGGGACTCGTCTGAGCTGAGCTTCCACTCCTGCTCGAAGGAGAAGCCGGAGGTGTCGCTGGCTGCCCCTCCGCTGCCGCTCCCGCCGGGGCCCCCGCACTCGTCCAGCTCCATGGTCTCTGCGTCCGGCTCCGGCCGGCGCTGCTGGGGACCCAGGGCCGGCACCGGCTCCCGCTCCTGCCCCTCCACCACGCCAGCCCGGCTCTGGGCTGCCCCCCACGGCCTGCCGGGCGCGGGACCGGGCGGTGGCAGCTGGAAAGAGGACAGCTGGAAGGTGGGCTGGCCGGCTCCGTGCAGGTGGAAGGACTGCTGGGTGGCGCCGTCACCGATGCTGTCATCATACAAGTCGCCGAGTCCCCGCTCAGCCGCGCCCCCCTGCAGCAGGAAGGGGTTGTGCCGTTTAGGGGCCCCGGGGCCTCTCCCATCCCGACCCCTGCTCTTGGCGCTGCTGTCCTCGGGCCGCGCGGACCCCCCCGGAGCAGCGTGCAGGCTGCTGTACAGCAGGGAGTCCGCCTGTCCCCGGTCTGGTTCCGGCTGGGCGATGCCCAGCTCAGGTGGGCAGAAGGGGTTGGGTCTTGTGCTCCCGCTCCCGCCGCTGGCCCCCCCGCAGCACTGCCTGTCTGGGACTTGGCAGTGCACCAGGGGGATGTGGTGGACGATGAGGGTCTCTCCGGTAAGCTTTGGGGGACTATCCATTCTGGAAAGTTCGAACAAGGGCATCAACAGCGCCGGACACTGCCCCCGGAGCCCGATGGGGCAGAACGCATTTCATCAGGAGAGCTTGGCACCTGGAGAGAGAGGGAGAGAAAGGGAAGCTAGTGTCACTTCCCTGGAAGTCTGAGGCAGGCCCTTCCGCACGTGCGTTCCAGCTGGAGAAAAGCCCGAGGGGAGAAAAGACTCAGAGTCCAGACGGAGCTTGGTCACACTCTCTGCATCACACAGGCCCAGCCCCCGAGTCCCCCTTCGTTTTAATTTGCCACGGGTCCGCTGTGAGCCAGGCCCCCTTTGATGCCACATACGGAGATCTGGGGATCTCAGAGACAGCTTTTTCTTCTTATCAAGGACCCTATTCTTAGCTGTAAACAATGACTAATCCTCAGTGAGAATAAAAAGCATGACCAGTGAAGTAACTATGAAAACACCACTAGGATGACTGATAGGGTGCTAAGCACTAAGGCGATACAGAGATGCCTTAGACACAGCCATGGCACGGAAGTTTACAGACGGGGAGAAAAATCACCAATTCTAAATCATGTCCTAATAGCAATAAGTTAAAATTTTGCAAGTAAAGTATTTTTAGGTATACTCTGTCATTTGACTCCTATGTCATTGTAGACTCCTTTTCTCCTCTTTAAAAAAAAAAATTATTGAATTTTTACAGAGAGGAAGGAAGGGAGAGGGATAGAGAGCTAGAAACATCGATGACAGAGAAACGCCGATTAGTTGCCTCCTGCACACCCCCCACCGGGGATGTGTCCGCAACCAAAGTACATGCCCTTGCCTGGAATCGAACCCGGGACCTTTCAGTCTGCAGGCTGACGCTCTAGCCACTGAGTCAAACCGGTTTCGGCCTTTTGTCCTCTTCTAAACCACAGAATACCTGCCGCTCTCTGATGGCTGTGGGCTAAGAGCCTCACTCTCTCCCTCTAATACTGTGTTGACGCTTCTTAAATGCCAACGTGGGTATTAGAGTGACTGCAAGTATGGCTGATGCCAACTTCTTCCTTCTCAATGGAGGTGGGGTCTATTTTTATCTCCTCTCTATCACTCTAGCACAACATCACATAGGCCTGGTCAAATATAAGAGGCATAATACACTTAATATTTGTCTAGCGCAGGATATAGATCTTCTGAAGTATGCAAATTCTGCTCAGTTTTAGCCTAGAACTTTCATTATGGGGACCTTTAGAAAATCTTCTCTCCCCAGTTTTATCTGATAGGCTAAGGTTCTCTCTTGTTCAAGGTTTCCAAGTACACAGAGTCCCCTTGGAGCTTCTCTGGTCTCCTGGCCAGACTAGGCAAGTTCTAGTCTCATGTGCTACCACGTTCAGATCCTAAGTCTTTACTTGCTCTGACTCCTCATTCATTCATTTCTCTTTCTTCCCTTTTTATCCCTGTCATTTTTCTTTCATCCATCATGAGTCTAAGTCTCCCACCATTAAGACTCATTTAATTAAACTCCTTTCCTCAAAAAACTGAAAATGGAACTCCCATTTGACCCAGTAATCCCACTTCTAGGAATATATCCCAAGAAACTAGAAACACCAATCAGAGAGGATATATGCACCCCTATGTTCATAGCAGCACAATCTACAATAGCTAGAATTTGGAAACAGCCTAGGTGCCTGGCAGCAGATGATTGGATCAAAAAACTGTGGTACATCTACACAATGGAATACTATGCTGCTATAAAAAAGAAGGAATTCTCATCATTTGCAGCAACCTGGACGGAATTGGAGAACATCATGCTGAATGAAATAAGCCAATCAATGAAAGAGAAACACCACATGACCTCACTCATTTGTGGATGATAAAGAACATTATAAATTGATGAACCAAGAGACAGATATAGAGACAGTAAAGCAACAGGCAGACTGTCAAATTACAGTGGGGAGGGGAGGAAGATCTGGAAGAGATAATAGATCAACTGAAGGACTTGTGTACTTGCATATAAGTACAACCAATGAACATAAAACTCTGGGGAAGGAGGGTGTGTATGGGAGGGAGGGAGGGGGGCAAAAAAAATCAATAAAATATATATAAAAACAACAACAACAAAAAAAAAAAAACCAAAAAAAAAAGAGACTCATTTAATTAAACTCTTAATACTACCAATTCTTAAAAATTTAACTAATTTAGCCGAAATCAGTTTGGCTCAGTGGTAGAGCTTCGGCCTGCGGACTGAAAGGTCCCGGGTTCGATTCCCGTCAAGGGCATGTACATTGGTTGCGAGCACATCCCCGGTACGGGGTGTGCAAGAGGCAGCTGGTTGATGTTTCTCTTTCATCGACGTTTCTAGCTCTCTATCTATAGAAAATCAATAAAAAATATATTTAAAAAAATTTAACTCATTTAGATAATAGGATCACAGCTCTTCATGTAAAGTACAATAAAGAGCTAGGCAAGTTCATGCTCAAAAACATGAACAGGTAATACATGAGATTAAAAAATTCAAACGGCTAATAAATACATGTGTGAGGGACACAGTGGTATGATATAACTGTGTGTTAGGTTAAATTACATTAAAATTTAAAAGCAAGTATATGGAGGTGACCAGTACCCAGTGTGTTTCTCTCACACATTGGTATTCTCTTTCTCTCTCCTTTTCCCTCTCTCTAGGACCAGTAGGGCATATCCTCAGGTGAGGAATAATAATAATAAAAAAAAATGACCCTCCCGGCGTGGCTCAGTGGTTGAGTGTCGATCTCTGAACCAGGAGGTCAGGGTTTGATTTCGGTCAGGGCACATGTCCAGGTTGCAGGCTGGATCCCCAGTGTGGGGTGTGCAGGAGGCAGCTGATCAATGATACTCTCTCATCATTGAGTTTCTATCTCCCTCTCTCTGAAATCAATATATATTTTATTTAAAAAAATATGTTTTATTGCCGAGATCGGTTTGGCTCAGTGGAAAGAGCGTCGGCTTGGGGACTGAAGGGACCCGGGTTCGATTCCGGTCAAGGGCATGTACCTTAGTTGCGGGCGTATCCCCAGTAGGGGATGTGCAAGAGGCAGCTGATCGATGACTCTCTCTCATCGATGTTTCTCTCTATCTCTCTATCTCTCTCCCTTCCTCTCTGTATAAAATCAATAAAATATATTAAAAAAATATATATATGTTTTATTGATTTTTAGAGAGAGAGGAAGAAAGGGAAAGAAAGAGATGGAAATATATCATCGCTGCCTCCTTCACACCCCCTATTGGGGATTGAGCCTGCAACTTGGGCATGTAACCTGACTGGGAGTCAAACCAGCAACCTCTTGATTCCTGGGTCGACACTCAGCTGCTGAGCCACACCAGCCAGGCAATACAAATATATTTAAAAAAAAACACAAAAACACACAAACAAACAGATTTGACAGCCTCTTCAATAAATGGTGCTGGAAAATTTGGTCAGATACATGCAAAAATAAAAATTAAAAAAAATGAAACTAGACCACCAACTTACACTGTACACAAAAAATAAAGTCAAAATGGATAAAGGACATAAGATGGGAAACCGTAAAAATCTTAGAAGAAGCCATAGGCAGCAAAATATCAGACATATATCATAGCAATATCTTTACTAATACAGCTCCTAGGGCAATGGAAACTAAGGAGAGAATAAACAAATGGGACTACATCACAATAAAAAGCTTCTGCACAGAGGAAGAAACCATCAACAAAACAACAAGAAAGCCTTCTGCATGGGAGAACATATTTGTCAATGTTATCTCTGATAAGGGTTTAATCTCCAAATTTATAGGGAACTCATACAACTTATCAAAAAGAAGATGAATCCAATAAAAAATGGCAAAAGACCTAAATAGACACTTCTTGAAAGAGGACATACAGAAGGCCAAGAGACATATGAAAACATGCTCAAAGTCAGTAATCATCTGAGAGATGCAAATCGAAACAATGAGGTACATCTCACACCTGTCAGAATGGCTATCATCAACAAATCAGCAAACAACAAGTGCTGGCGAGGATGCGGAGAAAAAGGAACCCTCTTACACTGCTGGTGGGAATGCAGACTGGTGCAGCCATTGTGGAAAATAGTATGGCATTTCTTCAAAAATTTAAAAATGAAACTGCCATTTGACCCAATAATCACACTTTGAGGAATATATCCCAAGAAAACAGAAACACCAATCAGAAAAGATATATGCACCCCTGTGTTCATAGCAGCACAGTTTACAATAGCTAAGATTTGGAAACAGCCTAAGTGCTCATCAGCAGATGAGTGGATTAGAAACTGTGGTACATCTACACAATGGAATTCTATGCTGCTGTAAAAAAGAAGGGATTCTTACCATTTGCAACAGCATGGATGGAACTGGAGAGCATTATGCTAAGCGAAATAAGCCACTCAGAGAAAGATAAATATCACATTTCATTCATTCATTTATGGAATATAATGAACAACATAGACTGATGAACAAAAATAGGACCAGAGTCCTAGAAGCATTGAACAGACTGTCCAACCTATGAGGGAAGGTGGGGGTGGGGTGGGGGAAGGGGTTTGAGGGGATAAGAGATCAAAGGACTTGTATACATGCATATGAGCATAACCAATGGACATAGATGAGGAGGGAGGGATGTTTTTGGGGGTGGGGGTGGCTGGGGTCAATGGGGGAAAAAGGAGACTTATGTAATACTTTAAACAATAAAGAATTTAAATTAAAAAAAGGTGTATAACCCAATTAAAAAATGGATAAAGAATTTGAATAGACATTTCTCCAAAGACCTACAAATGGTCAATAAGCACATGAAAAGATGCTCAATATCATTAGTCATTAGAGAAAGAAAAATCACAACACTTCACCCCCACTATGTTAGCTCAGATAACAGACAGTGACAAATGCTGGTGAGGATGTGGAGATGGAACGCAAACACGACTGCAGCAATGTAAAACGGGTGCCATGTGGCCACTTTGGAAAAACAGTCTGGCAGGTCTTCAAAACGTTAAACATAAAGTTACCGTATGATCCAGCCCT